CTTGCATGATGGGGAGTGGCTGTACCCCAGTGGCAGAGCACCAGCTCTGCCTGCCAGCAGTCCCGGGTTGAGGCCCCCGCAGCTCCAGGTGGCATTAGGAAAGAACCCTGCCAGACCCTCTGTGGACTCACGGCTGCCGGTCAGTGCTGACAGTCCTGGGCTAGATGCGTCAGTCGTTTGCTTCCATGCAGGAGGGCCGCCTCCTTTCTTACACTGCGCATGGGCATGTTGAGGGCTTGAGGGCTCGGTCCTTTGATGACGTGTTCTCAGACTGCCTCCATGGAATGATTCTGGGTTGAGGGTCATGCCAGGCAATGGCAAAGATCTCTCTTTGGTTACCTGCCCACGGAAGTCCTTGCTATTGGTGGGGTGTGGACTTGCTATTGCAGTACAGCAGGGTTATGCAGTTCCGTCGGTTTCTGCACAGACCTCCCCTTCTGTCCTGCCAGACCAGTTTGGCCAGGAAAAGTCCACAGCAGGCCTCTTCTGATGTCATTCGGTAATTACAGGTCTCTCAACAACCACCCTCCCCCCCCCGCCCCCACGTACACTCTGATGCATGCACACACCCTAAAAGCATTGCAACATAATGCACTATAGTATTGCCTGCGAAAGGTTTAAGTGCTGGTAATGAGGGCACAGTCCAGTCCCTTCGAGGCTGATTGGAACGTGCAATGCTGAGCAAGCAAGAAGCCACGGAAGCCTGAACACAACACTGTTTAGGAATGCAGGGAGTTCTCTGCCTTCAGTTGTTATCCGATGCTCTTGCTGGCTAATTTGACTCAGACAAGCAAGGTTGCCTGAGCGTTCCAGGGCTTAAAGTGCAGGGATTTTCTGGGAAAGCCTGCTAAACCAAAATATTGAGGTAGATTTTTTTCTGCATTGAAAAGTTTTACATTTCCAAAAATGCATTGTTTGTAAAACTAATCTGCCACATAAGAAACGGATAAATTTCCTGCTAAATGGGGTAGTTTCAAAGTTGCCATTGACTTTCTCCTGGAAGCAACTGTTTCAAGCCAGCATATGTGAGCATATAGTAAATACACATGCTTGTGGGTGTGCAAACATCCCCGTGCAAACTGCTTAAGGCTTGCCCAATCTAAGGTGGCTTTGCATAGCTTCCAAACCATGGTTTACAATAGGGAATTTATCACAGGCCTGCATAAAAGCATAAGAAAACCCACAATGCATCAGACCGACGCCTATCTAGTCCAGCCATCTGTTCACACAATGCTGAACCAGTAGTCTGTGGGGAGCTGCATGAAGGATATGAATGCAAGAGGACTCTCCTGCACATGTTCCCCAGCAACTGGCATACTGCTTCTGACACTGGAACCATTGATGGCCTTGTCCCCCATAAATTTGACCAGTCCCCTTTGAAAGCCATCCAAGTTAGTAACCATCATTCCATCTTGTGGAGGTAATATCTATAATTTAGCTAGGTACTCTGTGAAATCGTCGTTCCTTTGATCTGTTCTTCAGACCATGCTCTGGTGTCTAGTTCCATGATGCAGACATCATGGAAAACAGGAAATGGAGGGAGAACCCATGTCTGGGAGCACAGGAGAGCACAAAGGTAGCTGGGAGAATTGGCACGAGATGTCTGCCCCCACCATGGTTTGGTTTCAGTGTACCAGTCCCCACACATCCCACCCTAAATTTGCAGCATGGGTATAAAACTCCCTATGCTTTGAATATTTTCAAAAGATCTGTATAAGTGCTTAATAATAACAGCATTTGGTTTAGTTTGCACTGGCTATTTTTAGATCTTTCAAGCAATAAATAGAAGCAAGCTCAAGTTATGAGGAGGAGGAAACTTCTGTTAAGAATATCTTTGCAGACTACTGTCAATTGCTTGGTGTTGGCAGCTCTGTATGACAAAGAGGAGCCCTCCAGGCAAAAAAAGGCATGAACCAGAAGCCCAGGGTGAGATCCTGACTGCTGTGGATTGTGGGTGACTTTCGGAAAGTTGCCTCTCCATCAGCTCAGTTCTCACCCCTCTCCCTTTTCATCCAACCTCCCTGGCTGATTTTTATTTTGTGGGTGCCTAAGATACAGGGCTGCTAAAGCTCTGTGGTTTTTGCTGTATATCAGTGGTCTGAAGAAACCATGATATCATTGCTATAGAAACCTTCGCTTGATTCGATGTCATAACTCTAATCCGTGCTGATGTGCTCTGAGTTCCCACTGTGAAATGAAGATGTATCCTTACGCACACACATGCACACACACACAATATATATATTCTGCTGCTTTATAGCTTCCCAAATGTCTTTGATACAGAATTTAATTAAAGTAGTTGCAGGAAACAACCAACTGGAGTCTCATTGCATTGTGAGGTCGAACACCTTTGTGGTAAAGCCTTTCCGGTGTGTTTTAATTTAGGGAAATTTTGCAGATCATTGCATTGATCTCCATTTAGGGAAAAGGGGATAGTCTCAGTGTTCATGGAAAAATCTGGGCTAGGCAGATGAAGTCATGCTTGGATTAGTAATACTGAATTTGACCAGCTGAAGGCTCCATTGTCTCCGTATTTTTCGTGCAACAATTGCAAGGTGGTTGCTCTTGGTTCTCCAAGCGTCTTTCCTGAAGTTGTCTTCTAACTTGAGAGCTTGGTGGGTCCTAGGAATGGAGAGGGACTTCTTTGCTTGTGGAGAATGGTGCCTTCACTGCAGCTTCAGCAATAGGGGATCCTGCTCGTCATGTAGAAGCTCCCAGTTTCCAACCTAGCAAGGCCAAGTAGAGCTGAGAAGGAATCCTGCCCAAAGTCCAGGGCCTCTGCTGCCAGTCACTGAAGAAGATGCTCCAAGGGTCTGTCTCAGTATAAGGAAAGAGCTGGACCCGTCCCGTCCCTTCACCAGGCAGCCCTTTACATTACGGATCGTTATTGGCACTTCGCAGCTGACAACGCCACACTGGCAGTCCCCTAGCATGCTTGAACGACAAGCCTCTGCTCCTGTACAGAGTGTTGAACCCACTGCAATCTTCTCCCCAATCCTTTCCTTTCAGGGAAGCTGTGAGCTCCACGCTCACGCGGCTCCTGCTGGTGGGGAGCCAGCTGGCAAGCCCTGCGCACGTCCCCTAACTGGGCAGCTCACCTCTGCAGTGCCTCATCACAGGGTCAGGGAGCGGGCAAGGCACGGGCTCTCCCTCCTCTCCTGGGACCTCTCCTGCCTCTTCCATGTCTGCTCTCACAGTTGGCCTGGGAAAGTGCAGGCAGGGACCTTGATGGGGCTTCGAAGACTTCTTCCCCGCTTCATCATCCTGCCCTCCCGTCACCGCAGCCTCTGACTCTCCTTCAGAATCCGATAATGTGGGCACTTGGAAAGTCCCTGAAGAGCGAGCTTGTCCCTCTCGCTACAGCCCATCTATCCCATTTCCCACCGCCCGGCCAGTCCTCTCTTAGTGGCAGTGGTGGACACTGCATGGAATGAGGTTTCACACATGCTGCACCCACTTCGGGCTCATTCTGCCACTTTCCAGCCTGCTGGCACTGGCTGCTTTGTCTTCGCTGTTTTTGCTGGTGTTTTAGAATGGTTCATCTCAGTGTTTTCAATCCTTGGGGACATTATGCTGAAGAGGCAGCAGGCAAAGTGGTTCATTCACTTGGAGTGCAAAACTGCTTTGCGGACTGAGGGGTGTGGGTGACATTGTGGACAGTAGCCAGTCAGTACCTTCCACAGCCAGATTTCCTTTGGTACATTTCCAATAATACTGCAGATTTGCAGAATTATGTTCCTCCTCCTTTGAGTTTTCCATGGCAGGGCAAAAGTCCTTGTGCAGCAGTCTGGTGCTCTTCAACCGTAAGCTGCCAAGAGATCTTCAGCTGTGGGGTGATCGAGGCTCTTACTTAGTTCAAACGACTCTAACTTCGAATGATTTAGAGTTCCAATGCTAAAGTCGAGATAAAACCGCTCCAAAGTTCAAACGATGCTCCTATGCTTGAACTACACACATAGTGAAAAGATGCAGTCGCTGCATAAACTTCATCTGTTGCGCGGCCAGGTCATTTCTTGGGGCGAAACATCTCTTGCATAACACTCGTGCCGTAGAGTAAATGCAGTTCTCATTTTATTATACAGTACATATTTACACGTTTTATTAATTGTTTTCAAGTTTTAATTAATTTGGCATGTAACTGTGTTATTACCTTAAATTATGCATATTTGCTGTGTAAGTTTATTTAAATGGGCATTGCTTAGGTTCTAGGAATGGATTGATTCACTTTCCATTATTTTTAAAGTTGATTCAGACTTCAAATGCATCAGAGTTCGAATGGCCTCCTGAAACGAATTAAATTCGAACTACGAGGCACCACTGCAATAACAACAACAACATAGCACCCCAAATGCCAGCATGTTGAAAGCAAATGCTGAAACCTGGCAGGCCAGTGTATGTATCCTTGTTATAAGACTGCTTGTTGACAGGATCCCAAAGAGTTTACGAAGAGCTTTTGCCATGGAAGCCCTGGGTGGGAAATTGTGATCTCTCGACTCAGCCTCCTCCAAAGGGGATATTTAACAACAATCTATAGCTTCGGCCTTTTTTATGAGAAAGACTGTGAACAACTTCATCAGTTAAATATTAATACAAAGAATGGATCACAAGGATTGTTTCTTTTAGTCTGTACCCATAAAGTGCTCTCTGCGGTTTGGTCAAGATAAACAAGTGCAGGCATGGTTGGAAGAAAACTGAACAAAGACAGTGGCAGGGTTCAGACAACGTGATAACCTGCACTTGGGTGGAGGATGGGTTGAGAGTGGGTTGTTGTCCAACCATGGATTGTTCTGTAACAAAGGTTATTGTGGTGTCTGATTCCAACTGCACTCACAAATCATGGTTTGTTAACTGCAGACAGCCAACACTTCACAACCCAATAAAAAAACCACAGGTTCTCTTTGTAGGTTGTTCATAATAAACGGCATGTTTTATTAGACTTAGGGTTCAGACAAGATGATAGTTTTTTGTTTTTTTAAGGGTTTCTTTGTTGCTGTTTTTAGGCCAGCAAGATTAAATGGGTCCAGTAACTGGAATGACTCCAGATAAGAAAGCTGAAACACCGGGAGCAGAGAAAGCTGCAGGACTCAGGCATGTCCAAAGGATGGGGAGCTTGCCGGAGGCAGTTGATGCTGCTAGGCCAAAGGCCACGGCGGTGGACAGCGAACCGGCGGATGATGAGCTCACCAACTTGAACTGGCTGCATGAAAGTACGAACCTCCTAACAAACTTCAGCCTCGGAAGCGAGGGTTTTCCCGCTGTTAGTCCGCTGTATGACATCGAGGGTGACAATGGGCCAGCCTACCCTTCCTCCTGCTTCTCCAACCCCGAGAAGAAATCTGCCACTTCTAAGCCTCCCTATTCATTTAGCCTCCTTATCTATATGGCAATTGAACATTCCCCTAATAAAAGCTTGCCGGTGAAGGAAATTTACAGCTGGATCTTGGAACGCTTCCCATACTTTGCCACAGCGCCCACTGGCTGGAAGAACTCTGTCCGGCACAATCTTTCCCTCAACAAATGTTTCCGAAAGGTGGAGAGAAGCCATGGCAAGGTGAGAACATGGAGAAGGTTTTTTGGTGGTGGGCACTGGTGGTTTGAATTGTCACAGGGAACTTGGCTTGAGTTAAATGCTATTTGGGGGGTGGGAAACATGGGGCCTGGCACTGATTACAGTACCTGTCAACTCCAGCCCTAATGGCCAGAGGTCAAGAATTATGGGAGTTGTAGTCCCAAGCATCTGAAGCTGGAGTTGTTGTTGTTAAACTGGAGTTGTTGTTGTTGTTGTTGTTGTTGTTAAACTTCTGTTCCACATTAGTAGCCCTGCTTTAGTTGACTTGAGCACCCAGAGACCCAGCTCATGTAGTGACTCTGTAACGCAACATCAGCCTTCTTTAACCTGGTGTCTTCCAGCCACTTTGCACTTCATCTCCCATCAGTCCCAGTCAGCCTGGCCAATCATCAGGAATGCGGGGAGTTGTAGTCCAGAGCATCTGGAGGGCAGGGTGACATCACATCTTTGTTCACAGAACCCCTGGTGAACAATGTCTTCTGTGCCTTTGCTGTGCACATGGAAGGGGGAATAGGGCTGGGTGTACTGGCTTGCATCTGCCTCGTTCCCATTGGCTGCACCCACGCACCCACGCACCCTCCTAGGAATGGGGACCCAGGAAGCTGCTCTGTTCGGAGGCAGTCCATTGGGCCACCTAGCCCAGTTCTGTCAGCGATGCAGAACTGCTTGGGACAGGGCCAGATTGCCTTCTGCTGGGCCCACTATGGGCTGAAGGACACCAGGGAATGGACCCCACCCCTCATGGCACACCCTTTCAGGAGCCCGTGTGTCCATAACTGGATGAGCAGTTGCATGGGTTCGAATGTGATTGGAAAAGGCTCAGTGTAAAAGGAATAATTTCAAACTTGCATCATAACTTTGGGCAATCTGTATTTACCCTCCTGGTGGTAAATCCCAGTTCTGATCTTTCTCGTGTCTTGTCTACTGATTTTCCGAACAGCTGTTTCAGGACTGTTGGGTGAAGCATTTTGCATGCTGACATCACAAGTCATGGCATTCCCTCTGTTTAAAATCTGGTGGGTCATCCTGCACAAGGAGCGTGCCCACCCCTTCCATTTTACTACACGAACAATGATGGGCTGCCTTGCAGCTTGTTTAGCGGGAGGCATGATCCTGGGCTGCTGGGTTCTCTGGGGCCTAAATCCAGCAAGAAGCCCAGGTAAATCTACAACATCAACACAGTGACTTGGTTTACACATAATGCTAACTCGTGGTTTAGTTAACCTACGGTTTGTTGTCATGCACAGGGATTGTTTGGCATATGATTGAACAATCTCTAGTTTGTTTTCTCAGTCCCAGATCCCAAATGCCTTTGTAATACTATGATACCACCCTAGCCTGTAGAATGGCTGTGTGTTTTAACCATAGTTGCCCACCTCTGAACCAACGAAATAACCCATGAACAACCCATGGTTCTTCTTCACGGTCTCTGTAACTCAGACACACACGGGTTATATTCCTTTGCAGAAGAATCGTTTAGGCATTCCAGTGCTAAACGAAGCTTCAGCTGGGAGACCCACCCACTTCCTTTGCTTACGCTGCTCTCAGTTCCTTTTCAGTTGCCACAGTGACTAGTGTCCTTTGCCTCATAGCTGTAATTTCTCTCGAGCCTTCATGCATGGCTCCATGCCTCAGGCCTTCATCCAGAAGCAGGATTAAGGGTGGAAGACCACTCGGTTGACAGTGAGAGTCTCACCCGCACAGGAGAGCTCAGCTGTGTTCACAAAATGAGAATATCTGCTCATATAATCAGGCCTGGCTGGCAACCACCAGCAGCCAAAGTGCACCTGTATTGCAATGTCGGTGGCACCAGCCCATCGGGGGCCTGGTCAGTGCCCCCTAAGCAAGCTTTGAGCCCTTCTTTCAACCAGTGTGGCCCTTTCAGAGCAAATACTGCCAAATAGCTCCCAAGAAAACCTGATCAAACCCAGAAGCCTTAACAAGTGTACAGCAGAGGTTGAGGCACTGCAAGATTGCAAGGGATTCTAGTTTTCCCATGCATAGATTACTGGCTCGTCTGGTCTCCTCAAGAGTAAGTGCTACATAGCAACCAACTCAAAACAGCTTTCTGTTGTTAAAGCCTTGTGAGCATTCAAATCCATTGTCATAGGGTGATCTGTTCAAATTGTGATAGACAATACCACCATTGTTTTCTTCTTAAATAAACAGGGAGAGACAAAATCCTTCCCTCTTCTAACACTAATCTTCAGCCTTGGTATTGGTGCTTTCACTGGCACATCATTCTACTTGTCATAAACTTGGCAGGGATGTCTAACAGCCTTCCCAACTCACTCAGCAGCACAGGGACTTCTCTTCACAAGTGAGAGCTTTCCACAGAAGTCACAGAAAGTCATTTCAACATATGGGGTATCCCCAGGATTGACATATTCACCACAGCTCCAACTGCGAAGTATCACTCATTCCACAGCAGAGTGGTGAATGATCCAGGCTCTTTGGGGGACACCCTCCTCTTCCACTGTGTGGGTGTCCTAACTTATGTATTCCTCTCACTTTCCCCTGAACACACGGGTTGTAAACAACATGCAGGACAAAAGCACTTTCTGCTTCCTAATAACGCCATGGTGACCAAGGCAGTTGGCCACCACACTCCTGCTCTTACTAAATCGTATCTCTCTTCATCATCTTCATCTTTCGAACCTCCTCTCAACAAACAGTAGGAGCATCAGACACTCCGACTTACAGAGTCAGAGTCCCTACATCTCACAGCATGGAAAATAACTGATCTTAAAGATTTTCAGATCAAGTTTTAAAAGTGTTGACAGCTTCACCTAGACCTTCTCTTCCAGCCTTGTATGTTGCCCAGTGGAAGCATTTCCAGGCCTTTCTAGCATCAAATAACAAGACCGAATAGCTTGCTGCCTATTGAGCACCTTAGATTCCCTCCATGCTTCCAAGGCACGGCCTTCCTATTCCTTAGCATACTTGGCTGTGATCTCACCTAATTATTATACCACTGAGAGATTTTCTGTCTTTTTGTATCTGCATGTCAAAGGGTTCCTTAAACACCTTGCTTCTCTTCCAGTCCTGGCTTGGAGCTTATCAGTAGTATTGACTCAACTAATGGCTGAGCCCTTTGAACCTTTGGCTATGGCTGACCTTCATCTCCACACCATGAAAGTCATTTTCCTTATCACTACTACATCAGCATGAGGAACATGTGAATCCCGTGCTGCGCATCATGATCAACACGTTCTCATTTTTCACAAGGACAGGGCAGTTGTACAACCAGACAGCCTTCAGAAGGTCTTCTCTCAATTGCATCTAATTCAGAACATCTAATTCAGGACAGTCTCCTCACCCATCCTACCTCCTAATGGAGGTGGAGGTGGAGGTGAAGCATCCTATTTCAGGCATCTATTCAAATCTCTGGAATGTTCATCTGCCTTCTTGTCTACCACTCTGGTCCCAGGAAAGCTCAACCAGGGTCTTTGCCACATCTTGCCGATTGAGTGGTCTAGCCATATAGCTAGCATGTCAATTAGCTCACCTCCTGCTTTCCCCACAGGTAGGAGGGCACCCGACCAAGCCATATTGCCTCTTTCCCTGGAAGTGTCTTGCTTTTGAAGCTCTGTAGTGCAGTGGCATGGGCTCGACCATCTACATTCTAGATATCAGAGCTTCTGCTGAGGGAGCTTTTGGCAGAGCGGTCCTTTCTTTGACCCTGTAATGTCATCTCCCTCCTCCAATAAGCCTTCTTGCTTTTCAGGCACCCGTATGCATGAGTCATAGAGACCACAAAGAAGAAATGTGCTTCTTCAGATGGTCCTCTGTAAACTCGCATAATCTACCTGCCTCTTTCCTTCGATGCATCACCCATTTTTATTTCTGCAGCAGTGGAGTTGGGACAGAATGTAGGAGGGGAGGCCTTCCTGAGGAGACACTTTTACCAGCTCAGTTTCCTTGCGTGTGCATGTTGGCTTTTTACACTTGGGTGGGTTAGAACCACTCAGCAATGCTTGGTAAGCAATGATCTTATTTACACGGTAATCCTCCAAAGTTACAGGTTTTCTTTAAGCATTGCTAGATAGAACCTGATACCCGGAAAATCTAAGAGCATGAGAAATGCCTTGCAGGATCAGACCAGGGGTCCATCTCGCCCAGCATTCTGCTCACAGGGTGGCTAACCAGCTGCCTGTCAGCTGACACTGACAAATGGGAGACAGGCATAATAGCATTGCTTCGCTCGCTTTTCCCAGTGACTGGTCTACCTTGGATACTGGAGATAATGCATGTACCTATGCAGTGCTGGTCACCAATACATTCTGTGCTGGTGCATCCCATGGTTTAACTATGTCTCATGTAAAGACATGCGTCCTTTTAGCTGTCTGGAATCTCCGTCCGTCCAGCTACATGAGACGGCCCTGGTTTCTAGCATGAAGGAGAGAACAGTCTCCCCACCTGCCTTCTGCACTCCATGCAGCCACTAATTCATTCAGCCTGCACATCTCCATTTTGAGATTTTAAACTCCAAATTTGGCCAAATTTGGGACCATTCCGCTCCTTTCCTCCTTTTTGACGAAGAGAACTTTGGAAAGGTCGCCTATTTTTGTTGATGCTGGTATTGCCCAGCTGTGCATTTTGGATTTTTTCTCATGGATCATCCTTGTCTGAATGCCTCTCCTTCCACAGCTGACACAGCTGTCATCTTTGTTGCCTGCTGGGAAGGCGCACACATCTTAATGGTGCCCCTGCCCTTCCTCCTTTCCAAACTTCAAGGGGTGAGCTTTGCTTCCAGCATCAAGACCTTCACTGAGTGTTTTCCCACCTCTCTGTCCATCTCTTCTCTTGCCGCAGAAAATCCATTAAGAAAGAGAAAATGGAATAAGTGCACATGGCTTTCTGGCGGCTATTGGTAAGAGCCTTTCCCCTAGAACTCTCAAAGGGGGATGTACAATGACATAAAACCCAGTACAAGTAAAATGGAATAAAAAGAAACATTATTTAAAACAGGCCAGAACCAT